CCCCCCCTTCCCCCCACAGCCTACGCCCCTGCAACCATGTCGGTCAGTCATGCAGTAATTTCTATAAGTCAACCATTCATTAGTTATTCACTACCCCATCATTTCTATTCAACAGTCACCGGGTATACCAGTTGTTATGGACACTTTGTCAATGGACAAACTAAAAGTGGCTATTATAGCATCAAAACAAAGGAGGAACTAGCAAAGACCGTTTATTGTGATATGGAAACTTACGGTGGGGGATGGACGGTCATACAAAGACGGCTTAATGGCTCTGTAAATTTCTTTCGCGACTGGAGTTCATATAAGAATGGCTTTGGTTCGGTTCATGGAGAGCACTGGATTGGAAATAATGTGGCCACCATGTCCGGTTTTCCTTTTAAAAGCGAGCTACGAATCGAGCTGGAGACATTCGATGGAGAAAGAGGAGTGGGTGGCTATGAATATTTTGAAATTGGTTCCCCGGATTATACAATTAAGGTAAATACATCGTAGAGTACGTTTTAAAATGAATCTTGGATGCATTTATCATTATTGTTTTCATTGCTGCACGCTAATCGAGAAAAGGGTAAAACATCAATCCCGGCCTAGCACATCCTCGGGAACCCATGCAGGGGTAAAATTTGTCGAAACGAGTGACAGAATTTTACCCCTGGGTTCCCGAGGATAGGCCTAGCAGATAATTGGCGATCATCGATAAAATCGATCGATTTATGTTGGAAGTCGATAAAAATTAATAATGTGAGAATTTGTAATTATCGATTTTTTATCGATTGTCATCGATTTGTATATTTAACGAAACGATAAGAATCGATGATTGCGATAACGATCGATGCGGGTTATCGATAATGATCGTTATTATTTTAATTGACAGTATCCCCCTCCCTCTCCCCGGCCCCAGGCGGACTATGTTGGTCCCAGTAGGTAGAACAGCTCAGTGGCCCTGGAAACAACATTGTCTAGTGGGGTGGAGGGGGGGGGGGGTGGAGGAGTAATTGAAAGGGAAATATTTGTGTTTTACATGAAATTGTCCATTTACAACTAAAACAAATTTCTCAACATTTTTTCCTATGATTGTAGCTTCATGGAGGACGCCTGAATTGTTGTATTTCAGGCTAGAAAAAAAAGAGTGAAAATGTATTTATATTGTTTTTTTAGGTCTCTGATTTCCATGGGGACATTGGCGATTCTTTATCTGACCTAAATGAAATGCCTTTCTCAACATGGGACAAAGACACGCCCGCTTTGACCTGCAGTAATGTTACAAAGAATGGTTGGTGGAACTTCGAGGCTGGCAGCAAATGCTTGACCCCTTCCAACTTAAACGGAAGATACGATTCTATGACTTGGAAGTCATGGAAAGGGTCGCAGAGTCTAAAGAAATCTGAGATGAAAGTTAGGCCAGCTAAAGGTTAGTCAAAGAGACCCGTTTCTCACACTAAATCCATGTTGATTTGAGCTATAGATTTTTTCCTCGCGTAGCCTCGCATTCAAGCATTTCATGACGAGGATATGCGGTTTTAAACTAACCGAACAATAGAACAATTCGGTTAACGCAATGTTTTACCCAATAGACCCCTTGCATGTGACGTCAAAGAAGCCCATTTTGGAGGACACAACAAACGAATTGCAATCTCCTGAGAATTGTATTGTTGCTATTCTTTAGTCCTTCTGAGAAATGGAAAGAAATCGCTTTATTCCATTTCTAGAAGGACTCGTGGAATAGTAACACAACACTATGACCCAAAAGTCCCAAGTCCAGTAAGAAAAGGTTTCGGTCACATGAACTAATTGCTTTGGATTGTTTACATTTTTGTTGCCCAAAAGTTCCGATGGCAACTATTTCAAAACGCTTCCATACAAATCTTCGAAACTTCGTTAACTTGAAGACAAACATATGAACTTTAAGAACTTTTAAGCCATTTTTTAAACAAACCTCTGATTTCGCCAAAAAAGGAATGAATAAAAAAATGACATGACGTCACTGTATTGCTATGGTAACTCCGATCATGATAAATTGTATATCATGTAAAACTTGAATCTATCTCTAGACATGTCATAATGATTTATTTGAAATTAACTTATTGGCAGCGACGCATTGCCCCTTCGAACTTCGAAGGTACGCCACAAACAAAACCCAGTCGAGCCACCTTAACATGTGATAGTCTTTATTTAGTAATGGAGAAAAATAGATATTCCATCAATAATTATATATTAAAAGTATATTCTCACTACTCATTTCCTTTTCTTAGATTTATCTATTTTAATTTATTTTATTTTATCATTGATTGAAGTGTTCAATTGCACTACTCATTTCTTGTTTCCAGCGGTCAGGTGCAATCAATGGGCCTGTTACTATGCTATTGGCGGAAACAAATTTAATCATGCTAAAAGTAATTGTGAAAAGTTTGGAGCGTCTTTGACTAGCATCACAAGTTTAGAAGAATATAAATTTATCAAGGAATTTCTCAATCTACGGGACACGCCTCCTGACAAGGTCACTATAGGTAAGTGATCCATTTTTACAATCGTATCATTATTGCATATACGTTTGGTTTGAAGCCCAACTAGTCTCCCCCACATCCGCTTTCAGTGTCGTCACGCAACGCTGAGAAAGCGTTGCGTGACGACACTGAAAGCGGCTGTGGAGGACACTAAAGCCCAACCCGCTCGTCAATTTTGGCAGACCATAAAGTGTGTTTTAGTTACCTGTCAATCAAACTGTTCAACTGCATTTTAAAAGCCACGTGCAACTCAGTAAAGTCTTGATTTCTTCTAGAAGAATGAAGCGAATATAAAATAATTTAAACATAAGATACTAAAATAAAATTAATTTATAGGGAGAATTAAATATCTCATTGAAAAGCTC